ACATACTGAAAATGATAGATAAGTCTTGTCTTATTAGACAGACTATTCTCGATCTTAACCTGACTGGCCTGAATATTCTCATGACTGAATAACCATGACTTGACTCTTACATGACTGAATCATCTTTGTCTGAACTCTGAAAATTATCCCGAGACAACTAAATAGTCGCTTCGAGATTGAAAACATGATATTTACTGACTTACTTGACTTGATAAGGTACGACTTCAAGTTTCCAGGTAAATTTGGACTAATGGTCTGTATATCAGACCGCCACATTTAACCCGGCTGAACAACTATTATACGTCGACCTTACATCATGAATATAGACTGTAAATCGTGAACATGAATTTATAACTCTGTACTATATAAGGCTGCTCCAGTATCAACTGGTCCCGCAAGTACAAAGTGATTAGCGGATTTTGATATTTAGAAATCATGACTTGAAATATCAAGACTGATAAAATGCCTGACATGACTGACTTGAAAGGTTGTTATTACCTGAAATCATATTACTCCGGTTTCAGCTTCAAGCCTCCATGGTATACCCGGCTGAGTGGCTCTTATTTCAAGCCTCCATGGTAACCCGGACTATTGACTCTTATACACTGGAAACCGTTACCTTAACAATGACTTGAGAATTATAACAACCTTTAACATGAAAATTTTTTGCCTTGAACATGATTTACTGATCTGACTTAGGAAATTTTGAGTTTATTCCTCGAATTAAATCAAGGAATTTATCTCTGAAGTCTGCCACTTCGATTGGCAAAATGGCAGTTTTCGATAGAAATATCTGAGAAACATGATTATTAAGATTTGTTTAGCATAAGTGCTTACAAATCTCCTGACAAGTTGCTAACTTGACTTGAATAAATCTAGAATTGAATCTAGAGTTCTCAAACTTAATCCCTTTCTAAGGTTCTGAATCCACCCGTCCACGATATGGGGATCTCCCTGCCCGAAAAATTTTTCAGCGTGATAGTCGCGGAACTGTGCGACTACTGTGGCCTGAGTAGGAGCTGGGTGATCGGGTTCCCTACGGGGCAGCATCTGAACATTGAGAAAGTTCAACATTATTGAACACGTGATAATATTCTGACTGATTACTTAGGCATACAAATCTCTTGACGAGTTGCCAAAAATGGTCGATAAATACTTACATGAATCTTGAGAAACTCTAGAGTCATATCGAAAGATACTAAATTCTAGAGTCAAGAATATACTGAATTCTAGAGTCATATCTGAACTCCAAAGTCTGAACCTGATTCGAGCATCTTAACTAAGTCCTGATCCATAATTCTGAGCATAGACAAAGTAATATGTTTATAACTGAAAACATAAATCAGCACTTACCTGTCGTCGGCGGGCGTGAGCATGACGGTTCAAGTTTTTCTGAAAATTACTGACTGAAAAACTTTTCAGAGACGCAGAAACATGCTCTGATACCAATTGTAACACCCCGCCTTAGCGTGAAATCAGAGTGCGAAAATTTCGCAAAGTTATTTAAAAATAAAATCTTTTACTTTGCGAAAGCTGATTCGGGTGCTACCATAAAACGTGACTTAATTTGGAAAAACCGTTATCTTAATTTTTAATAAAATCATACGATTACTGAAAGCATAATTTTTCCAAAAGTCTGGTCAAAACATAAGTTCATCAAAACCATCATCAGCGGAAACGTTAATCGTCATAATATATATACACAGTCAAAACATAAAAGTCCTGAAGCCTCCATCATCTCACGCTCCCGGCCCGACCTCCTGACCTGAAAACATGATAACAGTGGGAAGTGAGCACTATAACACTGTGCTCCGTGGAAACTCATACTAATGTAAACATTGAAAATAATAACAACATCATGATCTTGGCATATACATAACCTCAACATGAAACCGGTAATAACATGAACATGAATCTGATATCGTCACGCAAACGTGACCCTGACTGTTACCTTATCTGCCGGCACAAACTAATGCCGGACACCATGTGCACACTCTAGTGGGCAGACTAAGGCCACTAGAACCTAGAATGGACCGGAGACTATTCCGAGCGGATACATGACATGAAATACATACCTCAAACATGGTACCGTAATTATAATCAATGTAGTACTTAGTCTGAGTCCCCACCTGATCTGCTGAAACTGAAGGTAGTGCTGATACTCATGACCTGATCAAACTGAAATATAATATAAACAATTACTATTAACTATGCTCAGACTGTTAACTTAACTGATTAATTATGTTAAGATGCTCTACTGAACGTGACATAATATTTGGATTTAACCGGTATAACCGGAACTGATCTGACATGAACTGATCGGACATGAATTTATTGAACTGAACGGCACCCAGAATTTACTGAAAATAGGACCTGAACATGAACCGGAACTTAAAATATCATAACATGAACTGAACCGGGACTAAAACATATACTTATGAGCTGAACCGGGCTGAACCGGACCGGACC